CACAAGTACGTGTTGGCTGTCGTAATGTGCTGTCGTTCTTGTAACTGTCGTGGTGTAGTGTGCATCTTTCAGTTTTGCTTTTTCGTAATTGTCAGCTGGTCAGTAACATCTTGGTGCGTGGCGTCTTTCAGGGCGTCGCCGAGTGGTTGTGTCCAGTGTATGGCTGGTGTGCCCGTCGTGTATGCTGGCTGTGTTCGCGTGTATGCTGGTGTCGCGTCTGTCGTTTAGCATTTTTGTTTTGTCACCCTGTATTGCTCGAGCCGACTGACGTTTTCTTATGTTGTACTAAAGTGTCGGTAACACTTGATCCGTCCTTATACTTCGTATTCTCCGAAACCACAACTGACGTTACAATCTGAAAAAAGGAAAACCCTGAATAAACAAACTGAGAACCAAGATACTTATCAAGGTAAACTCTTTCAGCACATTTTTTTCACGTCTGAAATTTGTCCTGAAAACATATATGTAATCTCAAGATAACTGTGAACTCTTGGGTATCCTTGAGAATTTTTGGATAGCCATGTGAACTCTTGGATATCCTAGTGAAGTCTTAGGTATCCCTGCTGACCCAGGAACATCCTGGAACGAGAATGTTGATATGCGCCTCTGATGACATTGTTTTTGTGATGACCCTTGAGTCAACCTCTACATATGCATTATATACTTTCCAAAACAGCCACTGTGGAAAAAATAGTGAACTTCCAAGGGCTTTCGTGATTTCTTACATTATCAGGGATCTGTGATACCGTGAGAAATCGCGAATGCGCTTGGAAGTTCACTATTTTTTCGCAGTGGTTGATTTGCCTACTGTGATAACACCTGTTTACTTGTAATCTTGTGGTATTATATACTATTAATACGTCTCCATAACTTGTGTGCGGCCTCAAGATTATTATAAAAATTTAATTGTCTAATCTAAATATACAATTGCTTGTTTTGAATCGCGATAATGGTAACACGGTTGCCAATGACTCAGTTATTGACAGTCGTGTTATTGCGATTTTTTCGAATCAGTAATAACGATTTTCATGTGATTTTGAGCTAGGTCACATCGCTGCTGTGTGAAACAGTCGCCCATGGGCCCCACTGGTGACAGTGGGGCCCATTCTGAGCCTTGTAAGAGTATGAAAAATCACCTTGTTGGTTGAAGGTTATTAAGCCACCGTGGTCTAGTGGTTAGATCACTGGCCTGCTTGTTAAAGAACTGTCTTGCCAAGGGTTCCAGCTCTGTCACTATACCCTGACATGCTGACTTCTTTCCCTGTTGCTGTCAGTTTTCCTCCCCTTGGCTGTATTCCCTTTCTAGATCCATTTTCTTTTTCAGATCCTTTATCACTTAATATTTATATTAAATTTACAAGGGGGTGCCTTGGACGGCTCTAGATCCAAGAAGTTCGATGCTACCTCCATTACATTCGATCAAATCTGATTACTTCCTGTCCCCCAGGCGCTGAATAACCCCTGCGAGCTTAGCGCTTCTCCATGCATATAATAAAGTAACGTCTTGACAAAGCTCCTGGAGAGCCAAATGTTCCCCCAGTAAAATGTCATATTATTTGGACTTGCGTCCTTTTACGTAACATATTGTCGGCAATTCTAACAACATTAATACACCATATACTAATACAAGATATTGGAAAAAGATGAACCCGATTTGAAATCAAAACTGCTTTGAAATTGAGTCCATCTTTTTGAAACATCCTGTAGTTCAATATTTTTTTCTGAACATCTGTTTACACGTAACCAGCTCACCATACATTATATTTTTGTCCTCTGCCGTAATCTTTTTCATTAGTTTAACATCGTCACCATATAAATATATTGTACTCCGTCAGTTAGATCATTGACTGGTATTAGAAACAGTAGCAAATGGCAGGTCATAATATGACTGAGACCCGCGTCAGGAAACACACTATGTCCTGACGAATCTCACCTCACCTAACCTAACAGTAGGAGTCCCGGTACCCAACCTCGCCTTTCTGACTCTTCTTCCCGTTTGGAAATGGGAGACGGGACACCGACAAGTAGTAAACACCACTAGTTGCAATGGAATCCTTAATTGGTGCAAAGTTTCGCCCACGGATGTGCTTTTAAAAGAATAAAGCCCACCCTTGGGTGAGGCGTTGTACCAGTAAAGGCATCCACTGCAACTAGTGTGGGTCAGTGGGCCACCAGCAGCAACAGCCTGATTGGCCATGCAAACACAGACGAGCCTGGCCCAAGACCGGCCTCTGGCAGTAGAAAAATTCTCGTAACTCATCAAAGGTATATCAAAGTTATTCCCCAAAACTGTGTCCTGTCTGTCAGGTACTCTCGAAGCTACTTCAGTACTTTTCCCTTTATTTCTGTATGTTTACTCGGCTTCTGGATTAACCTCTGCTGGGGTACTGTATCAAACGCTTTTCTACGGTATATACGGAAAAAAAAGTTCACCCAACCCTGTCTTTTTTTTCTCCTTAACAAATTCTTAGGCATGATTTTCTATTATTCTTTGGTAAATCCAGTATGAAGGCGTCATTTAAGGGGGGTGTCCTAATGCTGGTGAAGACCTCTTAATCCAAAGGAATTCGAGACTACGCTTCCTCGGATCAGACCCGATTATTCCTAATTCCAAAGGATATGTATGGCCCGAATGAGTTAAACACTTCACCATTAATACAACACTAACAGGCATCTTCTTCCGAAGTTTTGGTATACAAGTCACCGGAACTGATCTGTGTTTTCGACTGTCTTCTCTGTCTCCTTTCTCATATATGGGGATCACATGTGCCTTTTTTCACGTGGCTGCCCTTCTTCACTGATCTGTTAGAAGGTTTTCATAAGGGGCGACTAAAAATTTGTTAGTTTCTCAAGTATTCGTGGTGATATTTTATCGTATGTGTGTGTGAGAGAGAGAACGAGAGAGATTCTAATGTGTGATTGCCCATTGTAGCTACAGTCCTCAACGTGCCATATTTTTTGTCATTACAAGTATATATATATATATATATATATATATATATATATATATATATATAATATATATATATATATATATATATATATATATACATTATATATATATATAATATATATATATATATATATATATATATATATATATATATAATATATATATATATATGTCGTGCCGAATAGGCAGAGCTTGCGATCTTGGCTTAAATAGCAACGCTCATTTTGCCATATAGGACAAGTGCAAATTTGTGTATGCAATAATTTCGCCAAAATCATTCTGAACCTAACGAAAAATATATATTTCACTGTGTGTGTTTAGTATTAAATTATTGTAAACAAATCTAAAATATATTTAGTTGGGTTAGGCTAAAATAAATTGTTCTTGTTATAATAAGGTTAGGTAAGTTTTCTAAGATTCTACTGAAGCAAAATTAAAAATTTTTACATTAACATTAATGAAAAAAATATATCTTTAAACGTATAAGAAAAAAAATTTGAAAGGACTTAATTTTAAATGAGTTGTTGCTAATTGACCAGTTTTACATATTCGGCACGACATATATATATATATATATATATATATATATATATATATATATATAATATATATATATATATATATATATATATATATATATATATATATATATATATATATATACGAACAAATGAAAAAGTTTAATAACTACGAATTTTGATAATATGGAGCACAACACAACTGTTTTTCGAGTAGGCAGAAATTCTTTTTTTGGCGAAAGTAAGATAGAAAGAGACAACCAGTAAGCTTAACAGTGTAATATATAAATGATCCTTTAAGGATGTACAGTGACCCTCATGAATCTAACATGATAACGTCTTATTTCTCCAGTTGTTGTCTGGAGAAATGTTAATAATACAGCAGAAATAGTGACGCGCCATTTATTGCAAATTATTTGGTCAGGTAAAACCATATTTAATTGCAACTTGCAACAAGTGAGAGAGAGAATTATAAAGAGTAAAATATGTGCACCTTAAAAATATAGGAAGGTAAAGAAAAAATGAAGTAAATGAAAAAGACGTAATTAATAATTTAGAAGGCAGGAAACTTTAATGATTCACTTACACAAGTATTCTCCTTATTAACTCGTGTCATGTAAGAACATGTGAGGGTAATAACATGCATAATTAATACTAAAGTGAAGGATTTTTTGTGTAATTACATCTTGTAATTAATATTACAGCCTAATTTAATAATAGTATTGGTTTGCAGCATTTAAACGTGAAATGAAGTTTAAATGTCTGTCTTCGCTACGCTGTTTTTTATACCGTGATGCTTTATAGAGCTGCTAACTTTTTTATTTTGCTTATTAGTTTGAAGTGTGTTGTAGTGAATCTATGTCCATCTCTCAAGAAGTGACTGCAAGACAGCTGAAAGAGACAATCAATAACTATAGCGCCTTTCTGAAGTCTGTATTGACCGCGCAGGAGCAGTAAGCCAACACCCACTTGTGGTAGATGTACGATGATCAACGGATATTTATCAAAAGATCGTTGACATTAATATACTCCGTTACTCTATTTTACCTTAATGCGAAATTTGGATACTTTGGAATTTTTTTAAATAGTATTTGAATTGATGTATGAAAAGAATGTCACTATATATTTAAAATCACCTTTTATGGACATATTTCGTTGAGTTCACAGTTTACAGGTACCACGGCATAATGCATTTTGAAATGCTTGAAATATTAGTCATAATTAAGTTTCTTTCATGCGTTTAGCGATGCTATAAGACTAGAGAAAGTATGAAAAATATTAGGTTAATGATATATTTTAGTGCTTGTAAATAAAATGTTTCAAGGTGGTATAACACTTTAAATCAAATTATAAAAACTATCCTAATTTGTGAACAATATTTGTTAATGGCTAAAGAATGAGTCTTTAGGTATGATTATTTAAATATTTTTTTTAAAAAGAGCATGTGGAAACTTTTAAAAGAAAACGACAACTTTGTGGGGTGCGTACGAGAGCAGCGCTGCGGATAAACAAGGTTCCAGTAACCTGGGGAGACGAGTTTCAGCAGTCAGTGCATTGTGACTCGTTGGAGGGTGAGCACCTAAGCAATTTGGGCAAAATGACATTATTTGTGTTTTATTCTGTACTTCATAGTGTGCTGTGGGCATCGTCGTATGCCGCTGGATATGTCGAGGTTAGTAAATTCTACATAGTGTTTGTGTGTTGTGTGATATTTCGTGTGTTATTAACATTTGGAGGTAATATCCCTGGGATTTCTGGGCAGGGCAAAGAGGGATGACTACGTTTTCATCGATTCCCCGACACTTATTTTATTAATGTTGTTACTGAAGCTACAGTGTTTGCATGGCTCACTTTGCATGTGTTTTAAATAGGAATTGTTGTACATAAACTATGACATCCACCTCCTGATTATATTTTTGCCGGTTTAAGGGGTAGGCTGCAACAAGAGAGAAATACCGTAACTAAATAGTAAGTTGTAACTTGAACCACCTGGTGTGTTAGGAATGCCTTACCCATCACACACACCTGTGTTTATCTTGTTTCTCAGCTTTATTTACTCCTAATTTCATTTGAATTTGTTGACAGTCCTTGTATAGACTTCTGGCAGATGTTAGTACTTGGTGGACTGAAGGGGCTGAACTAATTTTTAGATATTCATGGTTGGTTACCTGCCTATGTGGGGGCATACATGAGCTTGAAACAGCATACAGGAAATGCTAGACCAAGGTTATTTGAGTTATGTAAATATAGTTTAGGCTAATGTAGGGCTGTTTTGAATTTGCATGTTTTATCAGGTTTTAATTTATTAAAAAAATGGTAGTAGATACTATGTCATACTCGTTATATAATACAGAAAAAAGTATTACTTGTCGAGCAGACTTTATGGATTTTGCTATATAAGAACATAGAAGAACACTGCTGCAGGCCTACTGGCCCATACCTTGATACACCTTTGACGGGTTATGAGAGCTTTCCTATTCTCGAAGCCTGGCCCTGGACCAGGCTTGTCTGGTGTTTGTCTGGACAACCAGGCTGTTGCTGGTGGCAGTCTGTTGGCCCATCTATCAGTCGCAGCCTGGTTGATCTGGCACTAGGCAGAGGGAATTGTCTACTTTCCTCCTAAAGTCTTGTACATTTGCTCCAGAAGTGTGTCTGATATCTTTTGGCAAGATGTTAAAAAAAATCTGGCCCAGGCTAGGCAGGTCTAACTCACGCCCACCTCACACCCACTCATGCACTTGTCTAACATATTTAAAGCTACCCAAGGTTCTCACTTCAGTGGCACTACCCTGGAGTCTGTTCCATACATCCACAACATTCTTACCAAAGAAGTGCTTGTCTATATTTTCTAAACCTAAATTTTTCCATCCTAAACCCATTGCTGCAAGTCCTGTCTTGTGTTTGTTAGATACTTTCAGCACTTTATTAATATCCCCTTTATTCCTGTCTTCCATTTGTGCACTTCAGTCATATATCCCCTAATTCTGCACCTTTCCAGATGGTGCAAATTCAGTGCCCTTAGTCTATCCTCGTAGGAAGGATTTCTGATACACAAGATCATCATCCTTCTCTGTATGTTTTTCAGCACATTTATGTCTAACCTGTAACATGGAGACCAGAACTGTGCAGCTTAATCTAAATGAGGCCTTTCCAAGGATACATCCCCTCAAGGAAGGTTCCTTGACGTTGGTGAGGGGCTCTTGATTTAGGGAATTGGATCTGTGCTCCAGTTCCCCGAATTAAGCCTGAATGCCTTCCACATCCCCCTTCCAGGCGCTGTATAATCCTCTGGGTTTAGCGCGTCCCCTTGATTATAATAATAATAATCCAAGGATACATAAAGTTCAAGTATAGCCTCAGGACTTGTACTGTTTATGTACTTTTTGATATGAAGTCAAGAGTTCTATCAGCATTATTGTGAACACTTACGCACTGTTATCTTGACTAAGATTACTGCCAGCCAGAACCTCTTGAGCCATTTTTTCATTAAATTTGCTTGCTATCTACATTGTTATAATGTATAGGCATCATGGTTAATTTCTTTCCCCAAGGATAGGCCCATACAATTGTCGACATTAAACTGCATCTTCCATTTCTCTGACCACAATATCAAATCTGACCAGTATGCTCTGAAAATGGAAAAAAAAAATGTATTTGTGTAAGCTAGAAAGTCATTTTGCTAAGCCTTGTTAAGCTTTTTCAACTGAAGTGAACTCATTGGAGGCACATGACATGCTAGATGAAACTCTGATTGTTAATGGCCTCTTGTGGGAGGTTCCATGATGCCAGTGAGGGGCTCTTATTCCAAGGAATTATATCTGATCTCCATTTCATTGAATGTGATTGCCTACCATTCAGTCAGACACTACATGACCCCTTGGATCCAGTAAAAATAATTAGTCATTTAATATCACTAGACCCTTGATGCTGGTGAAGAGCTCTTCATCCAATTAATTGTAGTTACTTTCTCCTTCTTCAGATCAAACCTAGCTACCATCCATTCTCCAGGTGTTGTATGACCTCTGGGTTTAGTACATTACCTTTTATATAATATTTATTATAAAGTAGGACCACTGCTTTAAGGTAGAGGATACGAACATGATTCAGTAGTATTAGCAGAAGTACTATTCATTAAATCAGTGTGAAAAAACACATTGCAATTAATCAATAACATCAAGTTATTCATCATCGACACAAAGTAAAACCAAACATTTCTTATTTCAGCAGCTTGAAGGACTGTAATGATGTCATAGGTGAAGCCAACTCAAGCATTCAGAGAACTTGCCAGAACAATAGGACTATTGTATTATAATAGTTCATTAAAAATAAATCTTATAAGTTGTGTATTAGTCATTGCAGCTTTTAAATGTTTGAATAAACTAAGTTTTCTTTTTTTTTTTCTGGGTATAGGGGCAACATTTTGTGTGTAGTACACTTACCCACTTAGGCTTGTCGATAAGTGAAACAAACTGCCACATAGTGGGATTAAAACAGATGTGGTATATCAGTATTTTGAGTGGTGTTAGAAATTGGTTAGACGATTTTGAATGAATGAGAGTAGGATCTGACTAGTATGAACCAGTAATCCTAGCCTACTGAAGTGCATCTCTTTTCTTAAGGTCTTTAAACGTTTTATTTTTACATTAGTAATGCTGAGTGATATACAGCCTACTCTGGAAGGTTAAAGATATTTGCAATTTGATTTGGAATCATCATATTCAAGGGGAAGTGCTAAACTCATAAGGGTCATACAGCATCTGGAAAATGTAAGGGGTTGTGGTTAATGAAGTTTAATCTGAGAAAGAAGGTAGCTATAGTTCCTTGGATCAAGAGACCTTAATTTTGACTTCGATGATGTACATTGGATTAATCTTTTGACTATTATAAATTTTAAGCCTTGTACATAATTTTAAACTTTTACAATGATTTTATATGGTAAATTAAATAGAATTTAGCCTTGGATAACAGTAAAGTTAAGCAGTGTGACTTCCATTAAAGCCCTTGTGTTACATAGTTATATTTTTGCCTAGATATGTATGGATGCCATCTTATTTTCTATTCTTAGTGATGTTAATAAAAAAGAAATCACTGCAAGGAAAAGAATACTTTTGTACAGTTCAGGACATTATCACAGGAAATGCTTTGGACACCGTTAGGACAGTCGAAGCCTCTCTGGCAAAATGTTTCCTTACCTAAATGTCCAGAACTGTACGAAAGTATCTTTTTCCAGTTTATCAGTATCACCATACCATTTAAAACAATAATAAATCGATACAAAAATGAATATATATATATATATATATATATATATATATCAGATCAAAAAAACTATGCATATTTTAACACAGAATTGGAAGCTTCCCTTTCTGCTGCTTCATTCATTAGATATTCCTCAATTACTTCTAAATTGTTTTATACTAAGACCTACCTTGGCATGATCAGGTAATATATTACATTCCTGTATCGCTGTGTAATAGGTATGAGGCTTGGATACCTACTGTGCGTACTACAAAATTGTTCGATTTCCTTATTACCATACTGGTTTTGGTTTCTAACCTTTACAAAATTTGCACTAAAATATTCTGGCCCCAGCTTGGTGGCAATTTCGTATGGTATACAGTGGTACCTCGAATTTCGAACAGCTCCCAATTCAAACAATTATGTAAGTGTATTTTTGTAAGTGTATTTTTGGGGGTCTGAAACGGACTAATATGATTTACATTATTTCTTATGGGAACAAATTAATTTGGTAAAGGCACTCGAACAGCCTTCTGGAATGAATTATGGTCGAAATTCGGGGTACCACTGTACACGTTTTTTTTTTTCACCTAAGCATTTTAATTTTTAGGCAATTCATACTAACCTACATGTTCTCTTGAACTCAGGCCAGAATAAATTCCACCCTCTTACTTTTGGGTAATTTGTAATTGGTTTACCAGAAATGAACAGTGTACATGTTCTTTTTTATGACAAGTCTGCTTAATAAATTCTCATAATTTAAAACTAAATATGAATAGTATAAGGAATTCGATCTTAGTTAAGTAATAGGTATTATAATTTTACACAGTCCACTACAGATGGTTTACAAACTTAGTACTTTATAGTTTCAAGAAACTGTACACATTGTTATATGCATACAGAGGTGATAATGTAGAATTAACCAAGGATAACCCCAAGATTTAATTTTTTTATTGCCATTGGAATCTATTTGATTAATTTAGAATACAATCTTACTACTGTGTAATGGATGTTGCAGAATGTTTGGCATTGTAATTTTTTTTTCCTAGAAAACCATACATAGCCTGGACACTATCTTTTACCTGTTTGTATAATTTTCAATTGTAGAGTCTTTGTTTTGTTCATAAACTAAGGGGGTTTGACTCATTAGGTGCTGAAACATAAGCAGGCTCAGTTTTTTGTGAATTGTAGTAATCATTGAGGTTTAAATTTTTGGAGAGTGGCAGCACAAGTGCTTCATTTTTGTATTTTCTACTGCTCAGATCTTGGGCATTTACATACCTTTAATCTATTGTATTTTTTTTTATTTGAAGTGCACTGCAGAGTGCTTTACTCACTAGGTAATTTAGTAATGGAATATTATGTCAGGGACTGTAGACACTGAATTGAGGTTGACCCTTAATTGATCACTAATGAAAATGTGAAGTAAATTTT